AACACAAGCAGGGGGAGTGGGAGAGGGAGAAGCAGGCTTCCCGTGGAGCAGGGAGCCCGATGCGGGGCTCGATCCCAGGACCCTGGGACCATGAACTGAGCCAAAGGCAGACGCTTAACGGCTGAGCCACCCAGGCACCCCTCACATGTGTAATTTAAGAAAGAAAACAGATGAACATATGGGAAGGGGGAGAAGAAAAAAAGGAGAGAGGGAAACAAGCCATAAGAGATTCTTGACGACAGAGAACTGAGGGTTGATGGAAGGATGTGGGTGGGGGATGGGCTAGATGGGGGATGGGGATTAAGGAGGGCACTTGTTGTGATGAGCACTGGGTGTTGTACATAAGTGATGAATCACTGAATTCTACTCCAGAAACCCATATTGCACTATATGTTAACTAACTAGAAGCTAAATAAAAATAACAGTGAGGAAATAGATTATTACTTAATAAATGCAAATAAGCAGATAGCACTTACCAAGACATGAGACTCATGGGAGAAAAACCAGCATGATCCTTGTAAAGAAGGATCTGAGATCACTAAATCAGGGGCTAAAAATAAGAGCTGCTACGAAATGCTCAAGTTTCAAAAGGCAGAATCTTGACATAAATTGCAAAATACAAGAAATTAGATGAAAAATGTAAGCTCATGTACACGACTTTTATAAAGCTGTAGTTCCAAAGAAGCCTAGTAATCAGGTTGAAATATGAAACTGCCAACATTCAACCATGTCGACCTTCAAAAATAACCATTATGCTTCCCTTGGGGGTGCGAGAATGTGTTGATTTTTTTTGCACAATTCACATACAGCCCATCACCAATGAAGTATTAGTGCACAAGCAATTTGGGTGACGGTGGGTTATATCATTAAATCCTGATGAGCTCCCTACGAGCAGACAATTTAATCTCTATGTTACCCATAAGGGAATAGGTCATGGCTAGAAGAGACCAGATGGGGATTCCCACCCAGGTTTGTGTGGCTTCAATGCCCATGTTCCCCCCACTACACTTGCTTCTCCGGATAGCCCATGAGGCTGAGAGGATCGCTCCCAGACTGCTGGCACTAATCCAGCACCCACAATCACCATGAAGAGGGTCCTCTGCAACTATGTACAGACTCAAGCGGTGTGCTGCCCACATCTGCCCCCTCATGACCGGCCTATGCATCAGCCTTGCGCTTCCTGGACTCCAAGAAGATACAGGCTTGGGGGATGAAGGGAAGGAGGTAAACTGAGTCAGCTTCTTATTCTCCAAAATGCTAGTGTTCATCACAGTTACAGAAGAACCCAACTGAGTTCCCTGGGGGAGGGCCTTTGATTCATGGCCACACCCAGAGACTCCCCACACAGTAGGTTTTTGACTGGACCAGCTTAGGATCAACAAAACAAATGTTACCTTTGCAAGAAATGCTCGTATTTCCGCCGGTATGCAAAGCCCGCCCGTCTCACCCGAAGGTGCTCCATCAGTCCCAGGTACTTGATCTGATGCCTTATAAGCAAGTCGTCAAACTTGTCTTTAGAAACACACAAGGGAGAGTGACAGTAAAGGACCCCACGGCTCTGTTTCAACCAAGACAGACCACAGGCTGCAAGCTGACCATCCGTGGGCTGGATCTGGCCATGGACAAATTTTGTCAGGTCCTCATTGTGTGTGTGTGTGTTTGTGTGTGTGTTTTAATGAGGGGGAATTTTACAGGAAAATCTGGATTTCTGCTTTCTCTTTAAAAAACCATGCTATCTGGCCATTCTGGGCTAGAGTTCCACATGGCAACAACTGGTTGGAAGGGAAGAGGGCTGCCCCTTTGGACAGCATGTACCCTTTGCAGTTTGCCACAGTCCCCTCCACTCCCTATTGCCTTGCATCCAGTCTGCTTCACTCATTTGCTCTTCTTGCCTGCCTTCCGTACAACAGTGTTGTACAGCATGAGCTTGGAAGATGCCCAAGTCATAGACCATCTCGGAAGACCGTTCCCCGGCTGGAGAGAAACAACACTGCTCCCCTCACCTCTGACATCTGTATGACTCAGCTGTGTTGCTCCTGAAACTGGCCAGGCTCTGAGCAATGCTCACTCAGGACCATCAGAAAAACTCTCCCTCCCTATTCATTTGCCTTTTATTGCCATTATTTAAAAATGAAAAGAATTCATGTACAAAGGACATGGAGCAAGGCTGTGGGTTGTTTTTTTTTTTTTTTTTAAGGATTTTAACCCACTGCCATCTGGGCTTTCCTCCCAGCCTCATTTCCCTGAGCTCAGTGTTCAGAATGATTCACGACTCACTGGGTTCTTTCCTCTCATTGGGCTTGATGCAACGGATGTACCAAGGTTCCTTAGAGATGAGGATTTCCAGAAGGCTGCTCAGGCTGTTTTTGAACTGAGTCCCCACCTTCAGAGAGAGAGAATGAGCTAGGTAGATATTGCTTATCCCAGTAAATACAGAGAAAATTGGCTAGGGCACAAGACTCCAGCTCTTTAGATCCCAGCCCCCGACATACTGCCCTACCCGTTACCATCTTGCCCACTAAGAGAAGGTTTTGGGTGTTCTGGCCTGATAAGTGCAAGCTCAGGCTGGTCAAGCAGAGGTTGGACAAGCACCTGTCCAGGGTGCTTTCCTTACTCAGCAAATACGTGGTGAGCACCTCGTGGGAGTCAGTATTGCCATTGAGACCATTACGCGCATCGGCTTCCCATTTCCTTGTCACCAAGCTTCCTTTTTGACATTTGTGCTAAGTTCCTTCTTTCTTTGACGGTGTTTTCCTATACTCTCTCCCACTAGATTATACGCCCCATGAGAACAGGGACCTCATCCATTCCGTTATTGCTAAATCTCGTGCCCCCCACAAAGTGCCTGACACACAGTGGGCGCTCAGTGAGTGTCTGCAAATAAACACAATGGTTGCTACACTCGGAAAATATATATTTAGTAGTATGTGTTAGAGAGTGACGCTTTCAGAAAAAGGAAGGACAGTTTAAAATGTACAGGTAACTGAGAATCATTGCACCCTCTGGCTGATTTTTACCACCTTTCCAATTCCGCATGGGCATTTCCCCCCCACTCACCGTTGGTGGCCTTCTCCGGTTTTCTAACTCGGCCACCAGGAAGCAGTCCTTCAGGATACGGTTTTTGGACCTGCACAGCACCTGCAAGTAAAGGAAATGAGCTCCGCATTCACTGCTTCAGAAGTCCCTAAGCTGTGTTCAGGAAACTTGCGTTAAGTGCGCACAACAGCCCAGAGCCATTTGCTTTGGGAGCACTTGAACAAGATGGGAAAAAAGACAAACATGGAAGGAAATATTTAAATACTAGATCCACTGCTCTGTCTATAAGGTGAGGCCGTCGGATTGTTTTTCCTCTGACACAGTGAAGCTATCTCTGTTCCTAGTCCAGCTGCTAGAGAGAGAACCAGCTCTTGAAGAATGATCTCCAAGATACGGTGTTAAGTAAAAAAAAAAGAACAAAATAAGACGAGGACCACATGTACAGTGTGTGATTATTGTATGAAGAGAAAGGAAAAAGAGGGAGATACACACACCTCTTGGTCTGTACCATCCCTGGAAAGATACACAATCAAATGCCTAGAACAGCTGGCTCTCAGGAGAGAGAGAGTGTTGGTGACATGGGGTCAAGGACACCAGCTTTAGGGCAGTTTGATTTTTCCCCCCTGTGCACACATTCTCAAAATAATCTGCACTACCAAAAATCTTTAATTTATATTTTTAAAAGATCTGAGAGAGAGTGGGGGGGGGGCAAAGGGAGAGGAAGAGAGAGAATCTTAAGCAGGCTCCACGCTCAGCGTGGAGCCCAACTCAGGGTTCAATCTCATGACCCTGAGATCATGACCTGAGCCGAAATCAAGAGGAGAACATTCAACTGAGCCACCCAGGTGCCCCAAAAATCTTTAATTAAAAAACAATTAATTCAACACTAAAATTCTTTTCTTTATATCCACACAACGAAATATCATTTGACCTTTAAGAAGGAAGAAAATTGTGACACGTGTGGGGACATGGATGAAACTGAGGACCTTATGCTAAGGGACAGAAATGAGACACAGAAGGACAAATACTGTATGACCCCACTTACATGAGGTTCCTAGAGGAATCAAATTCAGAGAGACGGGAAGTAAGGTGGTGGCTGCAGGGGCTGAGGGAGGAGGAACGGGGAGTTAGTGTTTTAAACGGGGGCAGAGTTTCAGTTTTCCAAGACGAAAAGTATCCTGGAGATTGGTTGTGCAATGATGGGACGGTGCTTAATGCTACTGAAATGCACATTTAAAAACAGTTGAGATGGTAAATTTTATGGTACATGCATTTTACCACAATTCAATGTTTCTTTAAATTAAAAAAAAAAATTTGTTTAGGGGCACCTGGGTGGCTTGGTCGGTTAAGCGTCTGCCTTCGGCTCAGGCTTAGGTCATGATCTCAGGGTCCTGGGATTGAGCCCCACGTCGGGCTCCCTGCTCACTGGGGAGCCTGCTTCTCCCTCTCCCTCTGCTTCTCCACCTGCTTGTGCTCTCGCTCTTGGTCTCTCTCAATAAATCTTAAAAAAAAAAAACCCTGCCTCTCCAGTTAACCTATAAAAAAAATACTTTTATTCCACTCTAATTCTGCACTTAACAATGGCATGAAAGGGCAATTTGTGGACAGGAGTGAACACATTAGAAACGACCCATCTTGAAGTCAAAAGAAAGGGCAAGGAGCGTCAACCCTGGCTGGTGAAGTGACAGACTCTGAGAGTTTTCCACGGGGAGCACCCTCCGTGGGTGGGTTTGTGAAGGGCATGGGCGTGGTGTGCAGAGGCAAAGCCTAGAGCCTGGCACTGCGTTCCCTGGGTCAGCCGGGCCCTTCCACTCCCGTGTCATTCACAACTCTGGGAGGGAGGCACCACCAGACCCACCCCACCAATGGGGAAATCTGCTCAAGAACCCCCCGTTGGGAAGAGGTGGGGCCAACACTCAGCCTAGAGCAGAGATCCAAAGTTAGGAATAGCTCTCTATCCTGAAGCCCAGAGATTGGGCAGAGAAAGATGGGGAAAGGCCAGAAGGTACTCCTGAAATGAACAGTCTGTGTGTTCACTCTGAAAAGGTCTCCCTACATTTAAGCTTTTTGCAGACCAAGCTAATTAACTAAAACCCAATTTTTATAAAACAGGTAACTGTTTCAATACAAAGTAAGGCTTCAAAACACCCAAGGTTTTTCTGATCAGTGAGGAATATGGAAGGAGACTGGGACTTGCAGCGGCAGCCTCAGGGGCTAATCTCAGCTCCAGCTCTGCTTCATGATGTGACCCTGAGCCAAGTCGAGACTTCTCGGTCTCAGTTTTCTCATCCTCTATTCATGCTACCCCGGTATATTCCCACTGCACCAGAATAAAAATCTCTGCTCCTCCCTGGGGACATGACCCTGCTGGGCTCAGTCCCCTCTCCTAACATTATACCCCTCACTGAACACACACTGAACTCATCTGGGCCTCAGGGCCTTTGCACACATCGGTCCCTCAATCTGGAGTCAGCCCGATCTTTCCACAGCCAATACCATTCTCACTCAGGTTTCAGCCAAAGTCACCTCCACAGGGGTGTTTTCTCTGATCTCCTAAACTAAATTAAAAATATCCCTCTCAATCATGTTTCCTTACTTTCTTTGTAGCACTTCTCACCAATGGGTAACTTATTTGTGTACAGTTGACCCTTGAACAAAATGGGTTTGAATCATGTGGATCCCCTTATACACAGATATTTTTTTTTTACAGTACAGGACTGTAAATGTATTTTTCTTAGGACTTTCTTAATAATATTCCCTTTTCTCTAGCTTATTTCATTGTAAGAACACAGTATATAGTATATAATACAGAACATACAAAATATGTGTTCATTGACTATTTATGTATCAGCAAGGCTTCCGGTCAACAGTAGGCTACTGGTAGTTAAGTTTTGGGAGAGTTAAAAGTTACACGTGGATTTTTGACTGCACAGGGGATTAGCAGGGTCATGTTGTTCAAGGGTCAACTGTACATATATATTCTTGGCCACTCCCCGCCCCCATGGTAAGCCCCATGAGAATGAGGACTGCCTAGAACTAGCCCAGCACACAGCACGGCCAACACACATTCTTGAATCAAGGGCATATCATACAGATGATCTTGAATTTCTGTTCTGGGCATGACATGATGGAGTTCTTTTTTTTTTTTTTTTTTAAAGATTTTATTTATTTATTTGACATAGAGATAGAGAACACAAGTAGGCAGAGAGGCAGGCAGAGGGAGAGGGAGAAGCAGGCTCTCCGCTGAGCAGGGAGCCCGATGTGGGACTCGATCCCAGGACCCTGAGATCATGACCTGAGCTGAAGGCAGCCGCTCAACCGACTTAGCCACCCAGGCGCCCGACATGATGGAGTTCTAACATAATGCATTGAACAGAAAAACCCAGAAGGCCAAATCTACCCCCAAATCAGTGTCACAGGTGATACCATCAGAAATACATATAGTTAAATTCCAGACTTACTTCTTTCAGATGTCTGTAGAGGAGATCATTGTTTTTCTCTAAGAATCCTGTAAAACATTGAAAATTATTTGAAGCACTGGTTTTGCCTAAAAATGCAATTCCATCCCAATTGACTGCAAAGGGAAATCCTGAGAATCATCTCCTAGGCTCAGATCAGAGTTTCTCAGCCTTGGCACTACTGACATTTGGGGGCTGGAGAATTCTTGATTGTGGGGACTGTCCTGTGAATTGTGAGATGGTTAGCAGCATCCCTCACCTCTACCCACTCGATGCCAGCACCACCTTCCCCAGCTGGGAAAACCAAATTGGTCTCTAGACATTGCCAGATGCTCCTGGAAGACTAATCCCATCCCTGGTTGAGAACAAGGTCCTCAGAATGGAATTTATGGCACACACACACTGTCGTCTAACCTCTCACGAGCTACCACACGAATGTAGAGCCTTTATGCTAAGTATTGTACACATGTCCTAGTCCAGCAGCAAAGAGCTATGCAAACAAGGAATGACATCGAGGGGCGCCTGGGTCCAACTCTTCCTTCTGGCTCGCGTCCTGATCCCAGGGTCATGGGATTGAGCCCCGTGTCAGGCTCTGCACTCAGCTTGGAGTCTGCTTGCCCTCTCCCTCTTCTCCTCCCCATATTTGCACGCTATCTCTAAAATAAATGAATAGGGCGCCTGGGTGGCTCAGTCGGTTGGGCGACTGCTTTCGGCTCAGGTCATGATCCTGGAGTCCCGGGATCGAGTCCCGCATCGGGCTCCCTGCTCGGCGGGGAGTCTGCTTCTCCCTCGGACCCTC